AAATGAAGGCTTTTTATATAGTAGTACCTGGAGGATGACTAGAGAAACTGAAGAACTTAAAAACACAAAAAAGCTAACACATTTACAAATACATATACATGCCTTTCCCCAAAAGAAAGGCTGACTCCTAAAAGGACTCCGGTAAAACTAAAGGACCTCAGTGTACGTGAACACACATGACCGCACATGCACAGACACGCAAATACACACACAACCAAACACACACACACACACACACACACACACACACACACCCTATATTCTGTCTTGGAAGTAATGCACTGACTTGGAGTTCAACAGATTTACGTTTAGATACTGTTTGAACATGCACAACCTCCCCTATCCACCTTGGTAACTCAACTGCTGCCAACACTGGCTTCCTAATCTGTGAGATGGTGATTAATAGTGACTCCTGAGCAAGGCTTTACACAAATGCTTAGGTAACCCACGTCCCACTATCCTATAACCTCTCATGCCTTCATGCCTGTTCTCTGTCACAATAAGTTCCATCCCAATTCACATGGCCAGGAAGGCTGCCCTGTTATCATCTTTCCTGAGGCCATAGGTTCTTCCTATATAGGTGAAGCTAGAGGAGATAGAGGAGGCCGTGAGGAGTGAAGCATGCAGCTGAGACAGCCACTGTAGGACTGCAGCATGTAGCACCCAAGTAGAAGAACTTCTGAGAAACAGGGGAGGGTGACAAAGCCAAGTCTCTTCCCTGAAATCACGTGTCACTCTCCACTGACTTCCTGCACCTTATAAGCAAAGACCACTGTGTAGGACTCACAATGTTGGGCAATATGAGCAGGGACAAAGGTCACGGTGCGATTTCCAAAATACCCAGAAAGGCTAGGAAATTGAGGGCAGGCTTAGGGGATATATAATATAATTAGCTAGTATATTTTAAAGCAATATGATGGAGTATCTAACAACATAAAATTCCCTGGGAACCACATAGAGTCAATGACACCCAAAGTGAGCAGCACGTTATTTAAAGAGAAAGCAAAGGGAAGTAAGAACTTGCTCTTTAGAAAATGCAGAACCATACACACCTATACTACTGTAAACATCAGTACTATTTTCTATTAAAATAAGATTCAAAGCACTGGAGACATGGCTCTGTACTTAAGAGCACTTGCTGTTTTTGCAGAGGACTGAAATTCGGCCCCAAGAATCCACATCAGGCAGCTCACAAATGCCTCTAGCTCCAGCTCCCAGAGATCACACACCCTTCTGTGACCTCCAAAAGCAAAACTGCACACTCACACAGACTCATACTCACAGTACCAAACTTTTAAAAACAGAATCAGGCAAAAGACAAATATTTTTCAAAGGTTCCTTTGATTACTGCACTTTCATGTCTGGACAAGAAAAGGCAGGAGGCAATACCAGGATAGTTCCTGTGTCGGGACTGACCCAGGAGGGAAGCGCTTACTGGAAATGGACATTGCTACGGTGTGATTTGGAAGCAATCCATCACCTTTGGGCTATGTGGACATGGTACATATAAAACGTGAACTAATTTCATCAGCCAGGCAGAAGAGTTAGTTCAGTTAGTAAAGTGCTCGAAGTGCCGGCACAAGAAGCCATGTTCAGACCCAGAGCCCAGGTAAGAAAACAGCAGGGCACACCTAGTGCTAGGGTGATAAACAGCAGGTCCCTGGGGCTCAGTGGCCATTCAACAACAACAACAACAACAAAGTTTCTGTCCTTGAGGAATATAGTAGACCCCAAAGCTGATCTGTGGCTTACATGTACACACATGTGAACACACATATAGCAAAACCCCAAATCCTTCTGATTCTACACACACTTTAGAAAAGGAAAGGGACACTTAACCTGTGTTATATTTGATTCCAAATTTAATAAGCATAATAAAATCATATTTTGTTAGCCCTGCCCAAGGTCAATACATGCTGAAGATCAAGCACAACATTCTCAATCAGCATGTGCTACACGCTACCACAAATCATGTTCCTACATAAAGACTCGGTCTCTTCATTAAAGCAACTCAAAATCTTTCAGGGGTGCTCTCGAAAATAAAGATGAGCACTGTCTCTTGTTATCAATCAGGCTTTTGCGTCTACAGTATAATAGATAACAAAGATATATGATGATGATGGAGTTACTAATAAATCAACTAAGAAAGAGACTAGATTTTAAGATAACCTAGATGATAATATTGTCCGGAATGTGCCTTATGTAGAGAATATGTATTTTTCATATTCTCCACAATGTGTTGACTATTTCTTATATACATTAATAAACAAACAAACAAACAAATGTGCTACTCAGAGATCCCTGGCACTCATCATATAGCAATCCAGGGCCATGGAACTTACATCCTCATTATAGCAGGATCCCTACCTGATATGTGTGTGTTATGGCTTGAGAAGAAAGTGAGAAGCTAGACCAAGTAGAATCAAATTCACCCACTCTTTTGCTAAACTTACCCCTTTTCTATAGGACTGCACACACACAGCAGTCTCCTCGGAGGAATTGTTAAAACTGGGGGCAGCTCTGTTCCCATGTGGCAATGCCTGGGAACAACTGTTGCAGACTTGCAGGGAAGGGGGATGGTTGCATCTTTAGTCACACATTTAGTAGGTATAAGTCAGGAATGAAGGGACACATCCTACAGAATGGTAATGGAGAAAGGGCTTGAAAAATAAAGAACATGAACATTAAACCTATAAATTCCTGTTTATCATTAGATAAACTTATATCCCAAACACTTCATGACCAACACACTCACACAGTTGCTCAGTTTTACACAAGAGTTTGCAATCAAATTAATAACCAGGAGTTAGTACAATAAAAGTAACAGACACACTTACTTAAATATTTCAGTTAAACAAGCTGAATTGCCAAAGTGTATTCTTAGGGCTGGGCTCAGCACAGCAATAAAGAGAAACACTACTCATGCAGTTCTTAACCTAACAGGCCGTCACAAGCCTCATAACCTCAGCTCCAGGGGAATCTAGCATCTCCAACTTCACCAGCATCTGCGTGCATGCACACCCATGCACACCCTCCCACATGTGCACAAAATTAAAAATAAAAATTTAAATAATTTAATTTTTAAAGAAAAAGTAAAACTGTAAGATTTTTTTTTTTCAAATAAAAACTGTACGATATACAGTGGATTTAATTCAATTTTTTTTCTCATAACACAAAATTCTAAACAAAATTTAGGCCACTTCAAGATGAGAATTCATTAGGCTGAACTGCTTCAGGAAAAGAAGAGCTTAAATAAGTAAGTGAATAAGTAAGTAAGGTAATAGGAAGGTCCTTCATGTCTTAGCAAAATGCTATGAAGGAGTCATTTCTCTTTTTCAAAGAATTAGACACACAATGCAGATGATAGTGCATTTGCTCAAGAAAAAAGATAAATACACAGAAAACGAGGAATGGGCTCAGAGTTAAGCAAACGTCTTATAAGATGGATCTGTTTCTGGAGTAAGCACTGCTGTGGATAGGCATGTATCAAATCAAAGACAGAGCCCTGAAGACATACGGCCTTCAACTCGAAAATGATGGCACACAATCCTTCCCTCCAAGTGCTCCAAGGAACAAGCCGGTGAACGGCCTACACCATGTTCATTCGCTCACCATCTTTCACACTGACATTCTGTGAAAGAAATGGAAGGAGGGCGAACTGCATGTTCTCCCAACCAGACTTGCCTTTGGGCTTTCACAAATCCCACACTTTGTTGTACATTTTATACCAAGACTTGGAAGTGATGGCAGACAAAGGCTAAAGCACTGTATAGCATTTATTCTTTCTTATTTACCTAGATCTGTGAGACAAAGAGAGTTTCCGCCTCAGGTGTGGGGAAGACTTGGACTCTGAAGACCAAGTTGTAAGAATTGTAGCCACATAGAGGAATCTTTCTTAAATACAGTACTTGTAATACGTGAAGCAGTTTGTACATCCTAATGCCTGAAGTACTTTCACCACACAGATTCAGTCACAACATCCATGGACAGGGCTGCACACAGACCATGCTGGCTCCACTTCCATTTGTCAGTTATCATCAAGGAGACCTTCTCAGCTTTTCTCGATTCTTATGATACCTACTGCCCCCTCCCTTACTGGGCTTAGGTAAGTCAGTAAGAAGGGGTGAATCAACAAAGGGAAGTGCCCAGCAAAGCAGTGCCCGGGAAAGAAGCAGTGCTGGGTCACAATGAAAGGCTTTCTCGTTCGTTGTGTTCCTAATTCACATTACTGTACAAAGTCAACACCAAGATATCAACATTTTCCTTTATGTGTGAAGAGACCCGAAGTTCTAATAGGCCTCCTTTCCTCAGGACATCAAGTCATCTTCTAGAGATATGAGGAGGCTGTCAGATATTAGAAGGTCAAAATAGTATTTCTTTTCTCGTCTATTTCTTTCTTTTTTCCTTTTGTTAAAAATATTTTTCATAACATACTCTAATTACATCTTTCCCTTCTCCACTCCTCCCAGTTCCTCCCCATCCAGAACTACTCTTTTTCTGTTTCTCATTGGGGGGGGGGGCTTCTAACAGATAATACAACAAAATAGAATAGAATAAGATAAAAAATTATTACAACAGACTTGGACAAGACAATCAAACACAAGAAAAACAACTTAAAAGAAGGCACAAGAATCAGACGAGTCATTTGCACATACAGAGAGAGAGAGAGGGAGGACCTGGTGCAGACCTGGGCAGGCCCTGTATATGCTGCTTAAGTTTCTGTGAGTCCGTGACTGTTGATCTTGTTGATTTAGAGAGCCTTGTTTTCTTGGTGTCCTCCATCCCCCCTGGCTCTTACAATTTTCTGCCTCCTCTTATGGGTTCCCTGAGCTCTAAGGAATTTGATAAAGACATATTCATATGTATGATATGTATTTGATAAAGATACACATATTCACATTCCTTTGCCTTATTAGTTATAAATTTTCCGCTTTATTAGTCACAAATGACTCAAAGGCCATAAATTCTGCTTTAATTAAGTAGTCTGCTTCCCTATGCAGATCTTTGCCTCCAGAAGCTACGAGATGGACAACTCAACGAGCACAGATGCTCCAAACCAGCCCTGCGCCCGGAACACCGTGATCATGCAGCAGGTCATTCCCGTGCTGTACTGTGGGGTCTTCATCATGGGTGTCCTCCTCAACGGAGTATCAGGATGGGTCTTCTTCTATGTGCCCAGCTCGAAGAGTTTTATCATCTATCTCAAGAACATCGTTGTGGCTGACTTTCTGATGAGCCTGACCTTCCCTTTCAAGGTCCTCGGTGACTCAGGCCTCGGTCCCTGGCAGGTGAATGTGTTTGTATGTAGGGTCTCTGCAGTGATCTTCTATGTTAACATGTATGTCAGCATTGTGTTCTTTGGGCTCATCAGCTTTGACAGGTACTATAAAATTGTAAAGCCCCTTTTGACTTCTGTTATCCATTCAGTGAATTACAGCAAACTGCTGTGTGTGTTTGTGTGGATGCTGATGCTACTCCTTGCTGTCCCAAACATCATCCTGACAAACCAGAGTGTCGAGGAGGTTACAAAAATTCAATGTATGAAACTAAAAAATGAGCTGGGACGGAAGTGGCACAAAGCATCTAACTATGTCTTCGTGGGCATTTTCTGGATTGTGTTTCTTCTGCTAATCATCTTCTACACTGCCATAACGAGGAAGATCTTCAAGTCTCACCTCAAGTCCAGAAAGAATTCCATCTCTGTCAAAAGGAAGTCTAGCCGCAATATATTCAGCATTGTGCTGGTATTTTTTGTCTGCTTTGTACCTTACCACATTGCCAGAATCCCCTACACAAAGAGTCAGACAGAAGCCCATTACAGCTGCCAGTCAAAGGAAACCCTGCTCTATGTGAAAGAATTTACGCTGCTACTCTCTGCTGCAAATGTATGCCTGGACCCCGTTATCTATTTCTTCTTATGCCAGCCATTTAGGGAAGTCTTAAATAAGAAGTTACACATCTCATTAAAAGTACAGAATGAAGAAGAACAAACCAAAAGGGGAAATACAATTCATGAAAGCACAGATACTTTGTAAATTCCCGTCCCCTTCCAGGTATTGTCCATCTTGCTACATAATTAAGATGTATGAATACAAAACATGCTTATGATGATAAGTAAGTCATCTAGCAATACTATCCAATAATTAAGCATGAATCCAAAAAAAAGTACAATAGAATTCAGACATAAGTTTCCATGTAAGACGGAAGTCTGCCACACATCAAAATATTTCAGAAATCGAATGAAGAAACGGCATATGGGTGTTGGTCTATGAGTTACCAGAACTAAATTCCTTCTCTGCTATTAACTGGCTTCTTAGAAGACACCCAGTCTTTCAGATGCTCCTCCTAAGTATTCTTCTAAGGAATGCTCATATCTATGTCATGCTTTGTGCTATGTATGTACCAATAAATGTCTTCAAACCCATCAGGAAGTTCTGTACTAATAACAAGCATGTAAAGGGACGCCCCCAGATTTCCTCACGTCTGCACGTGGGTCAGCACAGCCTGCTCAGTCATACACTGCAGTGCAAGGGAGGAGGATACTCAGAAAGCAGAAACGTTCTTCCCGTCTCTGGCCTTCTCAGATGAGTATTTTGTTTACCGCAAGTGGTATTAAAACCTCAGCCCAGACGCAGCCTAAACTGAAACAGAAAGGTTTCTGTGCTTGGCTTGGAATCATTTCCCATTTTCCCAAGGGCTCCATGCTTCCAATGACCAGTCAAATAAAGTCTCAAAAAGAACAAAACTCAGTGAGAGCTGACAGATCTTGGTGACTAAGCTGTGTGGGTTTAGCTAAACGCACGTGGGGAATGGGAAAGGCACTATGTGCATTATCCTTTATAACTCCCACATCCCCATGGCAGATGGAAAAGGCGCTATGTGTATTATTTTTCATAACTCCCATATCCAGAGCGAGGGTATGAGGGTATGGTAGAGTTTCCCCTACCAGGCTACTCAAGCAAATGTAAGAGGGGGAAAAACGGTGCCAATTAAGGCTTGGGCCACGTGGGTTATCCTTTCCACCTCTAGCCTCTTTTTTCCCCACAATACAAGAAAAATTTGTCCTTTAGAAAGTCACCTTCCTCTGTAGGACAAAGCAATGCCTTTGTAACCCCTATGCCAATCCAGAAAACTAACCAGAGAGCAAGATGTTTTTAGGAAATGACACATCAGGCAGATAAGAAGAGTGGAAACCACAGAGGAGTAACAATTATGGCATGTCAGAGCTATTATTAGTTGAAGGAAAACAGCTAGAAACAGAATTAATCTAAACACTCTACAGACAACGCCAGCGCAGCTCAAGAGGCCACAGGGAACATTTTACTGGTAGGCGAAGCTACAACACAGGGTACCCACAGAACCTCACATGGTAGACAAGGCAACGTCCACAGTGGTAGGAAGACAAAAAACAAAACAAAACAAAACAAAACAAAACAAAACAAAACAAAACTGAAAGATGGTGACGAGGGAGCTATTGCCTTGCCAAAAGTCAAGCCTCTTAGCTCTAGCCAACTGCTTCCTCAACTTTTTATAAGAAATGCAAAATCGTGGGGTGTCTGCATTGCTGGGCCTTAGGTCGAATCAGTGATTGGTTGGTTACTCACAACACGCTGTGTGCCACCACTGCACTGGCGTATCTTGCAGGTACGACGGCACCGCAGACGAAGGAATTATGGCTGTCTTGCTGTTCGTGTTTCTCTTTTGAGAGCTTCCTGCGGCAAAAACACTGGAATACAGGGGTGAAGGCACAAGCTCAATCTCTCCCTGTACAGTGATTTCTGTGGCAGTTGTCTTCGGCAACAGGACCTTACTCTAAGTTTGTGGGGAGCACCTATAGTCTTGACAACAATCTAGGTTGTTTTGGGATTCCCATAGAGTCCCTCTGGCCAACATCTCCGGGGCGGGGGCGGGGGGGAGAAGTAACTCAATCCTGGTACTGGAAACCTGGAAGCTTCATTGGGTGACAAGAGATGACCAGTTAGGAATCTGTCTCTCCCATTATTTGGGAATTTCATTTAGATCACCCTCGTATATGCATACATTATATGAAGTTTCTACTCTTTTCAGACCACCCCCCAAATGTCTTTTTAATTTTAGTTGCCTGTCCCCATATTCCCTCCCACAACCCCCTCTCCTATCCCACTATCTATTCTATTTCCCTTCCCTAATGAGATCTATCTTCTGCCTCTGGTTCCTTACTCTTTACCTAGCCTCCGTGGATCTACGGATTGTAGCTTGACTCATCATTGACTTATCAGGTAATAGCCACATAAGCGAATATGTATCGTATTTGTTTTTCTGTGTCCAAGATACCTCACTTGGTACAATTTTTTTTCCTAGTTCATCCATTTGTCTGCAGATCTCATGATGTCGTTTTTTAAAACAGCTGGGTAATATGCCATTGTTGAACTTAAATGGAGACACACCTGTGGCTAGAACATGACGTGTCAGTAGCCATCCTGCAACACCTAAATGAAGAAATCTAGTGGAAGGGTACTTTACTAGATTTTACTATAGCCTAGAAGAACTAAAGTCCACAATCACTAAAATCCCCCTGCCTTCTTTACCTGAATAAAGTTTCCATTTCTGTGTTTCAAGTACTTATGCCAGCATAGTTGAACATGTTTTTGTGAAAGGACTGTCTGAGGCAGGAATCAAGAAGCACATCACAAAACACTCACAGTGATGTACACCAAAATTATATAGGGTCCACTGAGAGAGCTGGGCCAAGAATATGTTTCATAAAACCCTCCTCCGTAGCATTGACCTGCTAAGTCAGCTCCTCAGCCTCCACCCTGTTTTCTTAGCAAAAGAAGGATACATTTTTCATTGAGAAAGCCACTCTCTATGTTCTGAGCCAGACAGCTAGCAGAGGTGAATTAGCACTAGGCAAATAAGAAGCCAGTCTGAATCTAACAGCCACAAGTTGGGATGGAGGAGGATTCAAACCTACCCAATGAAAGCAAACCCTAGGTTCACACTCAGTAAACTCTCTGGAAGGGGCTGCTATAGAAATATGAACTCCAGATTGCAAGAATTACTATGAATTAAAGCTCACAGGAAGGCAGAAAGGAACTGGTTCAAATCTAGCTCTGGTTTTACAGTGAATGCCTAGAAGTTATCCCCCCCCCCCCCAGTAACGCCACACCCACAACTTTAGACACGAGGGCATGTCAATTAGTAAACTTGTGACATAAGGTGTTACATCTAAGAGGGTTGTCAGTGTCATAAGATCAGCTTTGAAAACATACATACAAGGAACATTATAAAAACTGTGCAGCTCATATTTAAGGATATCTACGAATACACAAATACGTATAAGCATGCAGTAACAGTAAGTGAAAAACGAGACCATGAATTTGAGGGAGATCAGGGAAGGATATATGACAGTGGTTCTCAATCTTCCTAACGCTGTGATCCTTTAATACGATTCTCACACTGTGGTAGCCCCAACCATAAAATTATTTTCGTTACTACTTCATAACTGTAATTAGGCTACTGTTATGAATAGTAATGTAAATATCTGATATGCAGGATATCTGATTTGTGACCCCTGTGAAAGGGTTGTTTGGGCCCCAAAGGGATCACGACCCACAGGTTGAAAACTGCTTGTGTATGGGGTTTTGAGGGAGGAAAGAGAAGAAGGAAATATACTGTAATAATATTACAATATCAAATATAAAATTAAAGCGATAACGGTGTGGGTTATCTTCAAGGTGAACAAATGTGGGGGCACCTGTCTGTTGCTACAACTGTGTGATCATCAATGAAAAGTCACTACTTTCTTTGGGTCAGATATTTGCTGTTAGAGTCCAATGGCATGTGGATCACAGTTTCACAAAAGTGCATCCCTGAAAAAGAACCATTTATAAAGAAAAACAAACAAGCAAACAAACAGCTTGTCTAAGCCATCATGCTGGTACACACTATAATCCAAAAACATGAAAGGTAGAGGGGACAGGATGACCAGAAAACCAGAAATCCAAGGCCAGCCTCTGTTCTCTGTTTGGGAGAGCCATGCCTAAAAGCACTAATATGGAAACTGATTTAAAAAACAAAACAAAACAAAAAAATACCTGATGCTGTTGTCTGGCATGAGTATGAGTATATACATATGAGTATGCATATGTATACTCACACCTTAAAAACAAAACTGACATATCTAATTTTGAACAATATGATCTTTGGGGTTTTTATTCTTCCTTCTTATATGGGTATGTGTAGACATATCGTCTACATGTGATTATCTTTTTACATTATTTATATGGTACTAACTTGGCTTATAAGTGAGTGGTCACAGAAATTAAAAGTATCAAATCAGCCCAAACTTCTTTTTCTTCAGAATATAACTAGAGTTTTGAACACTTCCCACAGGTTAAGTTTGCCCACCAGCCCTAATGTGCCAAGTAAAGAGATAATAATAAGCCAGGTGGTAGTGGTGCACACCTTTAATCCCACCCCTCAGGTGACAGAAGCAAGCAGATCTCTGAGTTCGAGGCCAGCCTGGTCTACAGAGTGGGTTCCAGGACAGTCAAGGACGCACAGAGAAACCCTGTCTCAAACACAAAGAAAACAAAACAACAACAAAGAAAGAAACAAAAAAGAGAAAGAGACAATAATAGTGAAGGACACAGAAAAGTCAGTGTGGCCTTGATAGGTAAAGCCAACAGAGAAGCGTGATGGCTCCAGGTTCTCCCACACAGCTGTTGTTGTAAAATACATTTCTGGTGAAGAAAATTAAAGAGAAAAGAAGCTTTCAAATGATAAAGGATTTTAGGTGGTAGTTTTGGCCTAAAATATTTTTCAAATTGAAAAAAAAAAAAGCAGTGAAACAAAACTGAGAAATTGTAAGCATGCTACAGAAGATCCAAGCAGCAAGCAGACACGTAATAACGGCAGTCATCAACACTAAGGTTTCTTTAAAAGCCAGACTACTGTTTAGATGCTTACTTCCTGTCTGACTGCTCCAGACATGAGGAGCAGCAGCTCACCGTACCTTTGCAGAGTTGGACAGTATTGCTTTAGTGATTTTCATCCGTGTATATGAGCAAAGCCCCATTTCCTAGAATCCCACTGAGGGCAGCTTTTCAGTGTCCTGAATCCCCGCAATTATGCAAATATTTCCTCTTTAGAACCGTCTCTCCAGCCCCAGGTTTCTCTGAACAGCAGGTTGTTATCTGTATAGACAATGCATTTTTCATGAGATTGTTACAAATATGCCTTTCATCTTTTTCCCTTAACTCTTTGGACTTTCTCTGTTTTAGAGAACTCTAAAAGGGAAATTTAACAGCTGAAGAACCACTTGGGGCACGGGACTCAGAGTGATACAGCTGGTAACTGACCCAGCAAGTCTCCTTCCTGAAGACTGTCTCTCATGTCATCAAAGGATGTAATCCACAGGCCTTCCTAGCTATAAAG